AATAATACTGCCAAATAGAGCTCGGGTGCAGCGCGCTGCCTGTTAACTCACTGATTGGTCAAACGGGCATTAGTGAGTTGGGCAATCAACTTTCGTTTGTATTTCAACAGGTCCACTGGAATTGCATCAAAATGGTAAAGAATGGTAAAAGAGACTGGTGCTGATGAAGTAATGGCAAAATTTTCCAGATTTTTCAACCAGGTGTTCCGTGAAAGACGTCCTGGTTAGTATAAAACATAAGATTGTAAAAGTTGTTTTAAAAATGCAGTTTCTTAGATAAAACAGGTTGTTTGAAATTATCTTCTTCAACCTCTCTTAACAATACCTAGTCACTTAGCGATAACTTCAGAGGTCTACTTATCTTCAAAACTAAATTATTGAATTTTATAGGTAGTGGTAGTAAATTATGATAGAACCCAAACACTGAGGAAGAGGCAAAGAATTTCTTTGTTGGTAACCCAGCAAAGACGCACTTTGGGTTTGTATTATAACTTTTCGTGTCATACACTATTGTTGTATTTTTTCGTCTTTTATTTCACTCGTTATTGTAGTTGTTTCGTCTTTTCAAATAATTTGTTCTATTTTATGAGCCGTACTTTTGCAAAAGCTATTTACAGTTTCAAATTTTCTGCACTAACGCGTCTTTCCACTCTCCTCCTCAAAAAAATAGCAGCCAAGGAAAGCAGTCTAAAGTAGTCGTCAACAATCTATATGCTCAAATTGGCATAACAGAACAATACAGCCGGTATCTTCTGATAGCTGTACATTCTAGGGCTCTAATACAGTAATAAAGTTATTGCCAAAAACTTTACGACATTTGCAAACAACTAAAAAGATCACATCGTCTTATGTTTTCCACTTTAAATGCTGGAAGAAAGGCAAAAAAAATTTCCTCTAGAAGGCAAAAAGAAATAAAGAATTATCAGTTTTGATAAAATCAACGAATTGTATATGGTAATTTTTTTACAAGCTACAGTAGTGAGTATGTGAAATTTTGTTCTGAAATATTTAGATGGCTATTAAATGTCATTAATAATTTGTAACTTATATCAACGAAATAAATAAGTAAATGAAGTGCGACAAAAAACAACGTTGCTGAACCTCAGTATTTACAATGCCAAAATCTATTGGTTACTTATTGACCTATTTTTTGAAACAACTTGTATGCATCATTTCAGCTCTGTTAATTGTTTTAATTGTTTCTTGAGGCTTTTAGACAGTGATAATAATATGAAATTTTTAAAATTGCTCTAACTAACCAGCAAGTTAGATACTTTCACTCTTTTCTTCATTGAACAAAGTGGTAACTTCGTTAAAATAGCATAGAGTTTTAACCTCGTTTTGATTTCTAGTCATCAAATTTATAAAACTTCCACTGACAATCTAAGTGAGTCTTTATACTAGATGTTACTGACTGCAGGATTCAGTTATTTTATACAAATCGGTCACTCTATTGCTAAATTGAATTGTCATTTTGAAAACCATATTTAATGACATTTTTTTTTATACTGATCAGGGTTCAACTGTAAATTTGTTTAAGTTCTGTCTGCTACCTCAACATTCTGGTCGAAAAAAATGCATACTGTCTAAGCATTTTGTTTATTTCTAGTTAAAGCTGCGATTGATTCAAATAATAATCGTCAACTTCCAGTGTCGAATTAAAAGTTTACAGGTTAACTAATCAATTTTAGTTTCACCTATGACAAAGACAATGGTCAACACTGCTGGCAACAAACTGCATAGCTTCCTGAGTTAAAATACTACATTTTTCAGGATATATTTTACGTGTTGTTACCTGTGTTTTAGATATCAGCTTTATGTTATCAGTAAAAAACTTACAAACCAGTACAGTATAAACCTTACTGTACTAAAACATTTCTTCAAGTATTCAAAAATTTTAAAGCAATGGTCTTGTTGCAAGTATTTTAAGCACAATTGTCGTCTGTAAGCTTTTAATTAATTCTAAGTTTTTTTAGATAGAACAATTATTATAGGTATGTAACCTGAAACCTAAATACACAGGAAGTAATTGATATTGATGTTGCACTCCAGTTATTTCGCAAATATATTTTTTTAAAATTTTGAATCTGACAATGAACCTGACTTTTTTGAACCGGCTGTCCCAACAGTCACCTCTACAATAAGCGCTTTCTCACCTATCCAAGAAAGTTAGGTTTTTTCCACATTTAAAGTGTCACCAAGTTTTTTTTATACTCATTTTTAAGTCTTTTACTCTGATAACTAATTTTGGCTACATTTTTTTTTTTTTTTTTTTTTTTTTTTTTTTTTTT